CCATGTCCGAGTGTCTAATGACCTTTATGCTCGTCATTATCTGCATTAGCCTTAAAGCATTTTGAAATAAGTTCTTAATCTGATTAGGGGTCTGGTCTATGGTCTCTGGGGGCAATAAGCTCCACAGAGTAGCGCACTGAACATTTTCTGCGCTTTGTGTTGCGCGAGACCCCTGGAGAGCTAAGGATTCAGCACCCCCCACCCCCACCCATTACCCCCGTGCCGCCAAACAATGGGCAATCAAATTAAATCCACACTTCATTGTGGGATAATGAAAGACTTCCACTTCCACTCCACTTCCCCCTACCCCTGCCTGCTGGCCATAAAAACAGTCTCTCTGGCCAAATGATGTTAATGAAATTAACGCCAAGTTATGGCCAACTTTTGAGCAGATGACTTACCTGTTACGGGATTATGCTTAACTTTTGTTGGAAAATCAAAAACTTTTAATCACACACACACACAGAGAGAGAGAGAGAGAGTGAGAGCGAGTGGGGTCTTCTGTTGTCCATAGTTGCCATGGCCACACATACCACACCACATCTAAAAAAAAAATGGGGATTTTCCTTAACAGATAAAGTAATTTTTTAATCCTCTGCTCGGGTTACCACTCGAATCCACATCCACACTGGCACTGCTGGGGCGACCTTTTATAACCTTCAAATGAGCAGCAAGCAGTTGTGTGGGTGGGGGCGGGGAGAATGGGAATCCAAATAACAATTTAATTATGAACATACTCTGGCTTTTGCATCTTCTCCTCTCTTTCTCTGTGGTGTGTATGTCCCAATACGAATTCAAGGACAAATTATAGCCATAAAGTTTGCGACGCGTCGGCAGCAGGCAGCAGGCAGCAAGGCAGCAGCATCAGCCTCTGGGATAAGCTAAGAGCTCATTAATGTGACATTCATGGTGGCTGGATCTGGAGCTGGAGCCTTCTCTCTTTGGCAAGAACATAAAATGAGCCCAAAACTCTATCAGGATATCAGTCCCAGGACTGGGACTGGGACTGGGACTGGGACTGAGGCTGCTCCCAGTATCCATTTAAATTGAGTGCACACACAACAAATTGTTTATGGGCGTGTGCTGTGCTGTGCATCTCTCGCTCTGGGCCAGAGCCGAGCTGTGTCGTCTGTGAGGTAATTAACGTGGCCGGAATACACCCCACTCCACCCAAAACAGCCCCGGCAGTAAAATAATCAAAATTAGCCAGAAAACGCCATCATCGTTTTGGGGTTTTTCATTCCTGGGACGGCCAGCAGTTTATTTTTGCTTGCACTAGAGGGGACCTGCTGCTGTCCCGCTGGCAACGCCATGTGAATTATAAAGGGATTTGCCTTAAAAGTGTGTTCGGAATGAGCTCCCAAACATTAGAGGTAAATTCTCCACACAGGGGCTGGACATTATCGTTTAAATTGGGGAATGAAATTAATGGAAATATACGGTAAATATATATGTAGATGTTTGGTTTTGATTGCTATAATTCTTAATTATTTGCTGAATTATTTTTAGAAGCAAAAAAAATGTGTCAAAATTCGGCAAATAATTTTAAAAGTTTTCCTATTCCTTTTTCTACAATTTATTTAATAATAGAAAACAATTCTTCTTTTAAGTTCACAAGTCCAAAACCGTATTTTATCCAATTTCTTCACGTACGTGTATCTGTGTATTTTATTTATTTTGAAAAATAGCTAAAAACAAGCTCCGAGAGAGGCCTTTTCGTGTGGCTGAATTTATGTTTACCCGTCGCTCTAATTAAATTTAATATGCATATTGCCAAGGTATTTGAAGTGGCCAGTGTCCAGGACACAGAGAAACCCGACCAAAGAACCGCAACCAGTTCGAAGGGGGTTGAAGCAAAGGACGGAAGGAAGGAAGGCAGGCAGGGAGAGACCACCCTTGCGGTTGGTCTGCCCGTGTGTGTGTGTGTGTGTATGGGTAATAAATTTGATTAGTAGGATTTACGGGCAGGCCAAAAGACGGGACTGGGACCCTACGTTAACGCCAAATGTTTCTCGGTGCAGTAAATTTTATGCTAAACAGCAAAAGCAGAAACAAAAAGATGGTTGAATGTTGTTGGTCCGTTCAAAGGAGTTTGTTGGCCTTTTCTTTACTCGTTTGTCCGTGTCTTTTCTACTCTTTTCCTCTTTTTTTTCCCTCTACGTTTAACGAGTTGTTACAATAAAATGTTTATTGCATGCTTTATGGCGCTCACTTGTTTGGTATTTTCATTGCTCCTTTTTTGTTTTTTTTTTTGTTTGCTGCTGCACGACAGACAGAAACGGAAGTGCACAGAAAGTTCAAAAGAGAAATAGGTTCGGAGTTAAGGAACCAAAAACTTGAAAGGGTTTGCCTCTAGCCCGACTTCTCATCAGCATCTCTGGGGCTGCCAAAAAGTATGCAACACATCGACGACCTCATCATTAACGTCATTATCGGGTCATAAAGTCAAAAGGAGAAAAAAAAAAAAATACCCACAAATGATGCCAAGCATCGGTCGTCGTCGTGAAGTGGCGTCGAAATGGCCAAAGATTTGGGCTCCTTGCTGTGGCTGTGGCTGCGGCTGTCAGCCTGCTGTGAGGCTGCTCTGCTGCCATTTTGCCAAACTCTGAAATGCAGTCAATGCCTCCTGGATTTGCCATTCACTCTCCTCCTGCCCCTACACTCATTTACAGCTAAATTATGCGCATTGGGCTGCTGCTTTTGGTATTGAAATTACGAGTATTTCTACACCCACACTCGGTTTTTTTTTTTTTTGGCTGCTGCCGCTCGTTTGGTTGCTGCTGCTGCTGCTGCTCTGATGATGATGATGATGGGCACCCCCTGCCTTTTGTGTGCTTGTGGTTCTAAAGTGAAAGGGAATTTTTTGTGTGCAGACCAAAATAAAAAGAAAACCCACAAAATGCATTTTGATGATTTGCGCTGCTGGGACGTAAATCTACATTCGCAATTCTGCCAGAATATCCCGAAATTTAGAGCGAATGCAGTGAGATGTTGGAAATGAATGCTTGAAAAAGTGCCAAAGAGCACAGCCTTAACGCTTTTGATTGTAAGAGATTTTATATGCGTTTAAATAAATTCTATTTTAAGGCTTTATCAATGTGTAAATGAACAGGGTTTTAATGTGCATCTTTTATCTCTTTCATTGCAGGTAAGCTTCGATGAACAGACGTCTAAGAAGGAGATTGTAACCATACTTAAATGGGGTTATTTGTGTATGTAAATATGAGCATACATTTACTGAGTGTTAATCATCTACTTGAATATTGTTTTATGCATTGAGTCGCAATTGTTTTATATTTTTACTTATTTATATTTATATCTTGATCTTTATATCATCTCTGAGCTTTGCTCTGCTCTTCACTTGCTCTCTTAACGACAAAAAACAACAACAATGCTAACGCAGGGGAATTTGCTTTGTTTTGTTTTGTTCCTTTTGTTGTTCCAGGGGAATTGTTTTGTTCTTTTTTTTGTCCCTCGTACTCGATTGATTGTGTCGACAACTGGAACCGGGAATTTCAATACTCAAGCATCGCTGCTAATCTCACGCAATGCTCATTGCTCTCTCAATTGCTTTATAGCATTGCTCTCACAGCAAAAGCGGCAACATAGCGACCACAGAGCTCTCTCGCTCTTGGGCCACGCTCTCAGAAAAGGGGCTGTCCATATATTACGTAATCACGTTTTCGATGATTTTTGACCCCCTCCCCCCCCCTGATAATCAAAAGTAATCATTCAAGGAACCCCCCCCCCATGATTACGTAATCACAAGAAAAAAGATATAAATATATAAATTTGGTTGCATTTGGTACTTACTGGCGGAATAATCAGCGCGAAATAAATTTTTGAATAAATACTTTCAATAAAAAAAACTCTTTAAAATGATAACGTAATCATTGTCCAAGACCCCCCCATCGCCATGTAATCAAACATAATCATTTCCTTGACCCCCCTCCCCCCATAGGTGATTACGTAATATATATACGACAGCCCCAAAGGCGAACCAAGAAACGAACCAAAAAATCTGCACACAGATAAAAAATGTATCAAAAAATTACACAGCTAAGATTCAACAAAACTTTCCCTATTCCAGTGGTTTATTCATTCAATCTACATATGAAAGAAATCATCACCCAATCAACATTGAGTTGCAGCCAGCCACACACACAACCCTCACACCTTTATGGATGTGTGTGGATATCCTTATATACGAAGTGGCAATCGATTTCATGATTCATTATTCCCCACACAGCAAATTGGGATTTATGAGCACTTAAATAAGCTTCATTTCGCTGCTCAAATTATCTGAATGAACTGATGAAATTATAATTTCCGACCAGCAATATATATACATATTAAAATAGCGCATTAATTATTATGCATTTTTAAAGAGGCGCGCAACGGGGAGGAACACTTGAAAAATATGCGACACATTTTCAGCATTCAGTTTGGTGGTTCAGGGGGGGTTCGGCTGGGCTGGGAAAATGCTAATAAATCAATGCAAATGCCAAAAGCGGCAAAAAGAAAATCGCAATCAATGACAGCAAACACCTACCGACATACCTCTGCCAGAGAGAGGGCAGCAGGACTGTGTGTATGAGTGTGCGCGTGTGGGGCTTTGGGGGCTCTGACAGAGGCATTAACATAACAGTTATGTGCATATTAAGTGTACATTATGTTCCTTAATCCAGACAATAAAGCACCCAACAGTGCGGCAGCAGAAAATTAATGAAATTATGCAACAACTTTACAACAAATCAATGAAAGGAAAGCCTACCCCATTCGGAGCTGGCTACACTGCAACAAGAGCAAGCGAAAATGTTAATGCCACATGGCCACAGGCAGCCACAGGCAGCTCGTACAATCGCGTATTGGAATCAGGTCAGAGATTAAATAGAAATATATGTTTCATTCACCATCCATAGAGATTAGTGTGGGAATTTTATTTTGTAAACGTCAGAGCAAAAAGTCGTTAGGAATGTGTGTATGTGATTATATATATTGTGTATGCCAGGCTCATTTTCCGCCACGCACATTGCAAACGCGGCAATCTCCGTTGATTATGACATTTCCCGGATTCAGAGGGGTAGCTAAAAAAAACAATAAGAATATTTTAAATAATTGAATTTAATTTAGTTTAATTTTTGTGTATATTTACCATTAGCCAGAGCCAAGAGGCCGAGCACAAGAGCAAGCGATAGGAATTTCATCTTGGAAGATACTGTAACAGAAGCTGGAACTGAACTGATGCCTGGACCAGTCGCATCCATTGGCTTTTATACGCTGGCTGCCTTCACCACGATCGTTTTGTTATCAGGGAAAACCGCATTATTGCTTCTATGGGTGGATTTGCCCCAGCCCGTCTGTGAAATTCCCCACACAAGTGTAATCTCATAGAAACAGAGATTCGTTTCTCAAGTATCAGATTCAATTAGCAGCAGTGCAGTTGGGGGGAGGTCAATGTAAAACCTGTTTGCTAATCGCTTTTGATTGACATGCGTTCCATGGAATCATAAAGTATCTGATACATTCAGCTAATACCCAACGATGAATGCGTTTAAACCGGTTCAAAGAAATTCGCTTGGAACTTGTGCAGCTAATTTGTTATGGCTTTCACGTGTGTTCTAAGAACTCTCTTGGCATAGAACGTGCAATGAGTATTCTATATTTTTGGATAAAGAAACTAAAGAACACAGAGATCCAAGTTTTAGATTATTAAATATTTATTTAAAGTGTTTTACTTCGCTTTAAAATCAAACATGATTTTCACTTTTCTATTTTTTGGCAATAAATAAATATTAGTAGCCACTTTTTGTGGCTGGCACGTATTTAACATTTTCCACTGGTCATTGATTTCCGATTTCTGGTGACTTTGAGATATCGCACTTCCAGATTTTGGCATCTGGCCTGGGTGTGGGGCTGTGGGTTAACCAAAACACTTTTTAGCTTTTTTCAGTTATTCCTTTTCTAGTTATTATTTTTACCATTCTTCTGCCACTGCCGCACCGACTAAAAACAACGCCATGAGAAGAACCATTGCAAATTGTACAAATATTTTCATTTTAAATATAAAATATTTCTTTGATATTATTTATGGTATTGTTTACTGAACTGTAACTTAAGTTGAACTGATTTCAGTGACCGCTGTATAAGGAACTTATATATGAATATAAATTTATATAAATTTTATCCCATATGATGTATGGTTTGGCTCTTATCGGAGTGCAAATTCTCTAGGGTAATTGTTCTTTCTGCATGCAAAAAGCTTTTGCAATAAAAATCCGAGATTTCAGGGAAACATATCATTACTTTCATTGTTTCATTGCTCGTTAGTTTTATATTTCTCGCCCGTCGATGATTCAGAAAATTGAGAGAAATAATATGAGAGGGGAATACGTACTTCATATTGCGTAGTTTTTGTGTCCCTAGAGTTGAGGAATTTTGCATAGAGCTGGCATGAAATTCCAAGCTTAATTCCATGAATTTTTTGGGCTACTCAGTTTGGGTTTTGTGTTTTTCCCTTTCTGCAAGAGCTAAAAATAAAATCATTCAAGCATTTATTCAACAATTTTTACGGGTATTCCTCGTGGCAATAATCAGTGCTTTAACTCACGTTTTCCATCTAAATGAAAATTGCAATGCAATGGCCAAAGTGAAAACGAATTTCGCTTATTTTAGGGAATTGCGGAACGAGGGCAAATAAATTGTGGGGATGTGCAATGGGAAAGCGAGAAGAAATGTAAGCAAACATAAATCAGTTCATCATCAGAGACGACTCCCTCCCGCCACTAGTTCCTGTTCCAGTTTTGCATATCGTATCGACAATTTTACTTGTTGTTTGCAAATCGAATACCAAGTGAACTACGAGCAGAAATTTTTGCAATTTTCTCCGCACCTAGTGCAAAGTATCTGCGATGGTTTTTTCTTACTTTTTTTTTTTTGCTATATGCAGGAATAAACGTAATTCGTTAAAATCAAGCAAGGGCAAAAAAAATCCACGAAGCAAATTAAATGAGGGAGAGTCGTCTCAGTGAGTGGAAAAGGAGTGGAAATTGAGGAGAATGCTGGGGGAGAATGATGAATGCGAAAGGGGAGCGGGGAACAACTTAAAATTGTGCTGGAAATCAACTAAAAATTGGGGTTCGCTGTGCTACTATTTTTATATATTTAAATTTATTTTTATTTGCTTTTTATTTTGGTTGCGTCAGGCGGGTGGAGAGACATGAAAAGCTCAGCGAAAAATTGCAATGCACTTTCATCGACTTCACCTTTTCAGTTGGAGTAGGGCTTAATTTATTTTATTTTCCATTGTATTTTCGTGTCTTCTTCTTTTCGTTGCTGTCTGAAACTCCTTCTTTCCGTCAGTTCTTTCTGCAATTTATGTGCATACAAAATGAGTCCAACAAAAAAGAGGAGAAAGAGAAAACTTTTTAAGTGCGAAAGTGCGCTTTTGTGCCACAGTGCCACGGAGGGCGGTGTAATCTGATTTTCGAGCAGTTGGTTCATTAACAACGGCATACAAATACAATAAATAAATTAAAAAAGATTATTATTATTATTTAAAATATAGTTATTTTGAAATTTATGTTTTTCTACCATTTATTTTATTTATTTTGTATTGAATAATTTTAAATATATTTTACTTAATTTTATAGCATACTCTAGGGCGGACGATTAAATCTCTAAAAACATTTCTTGGGGAATGTAATGACCCATTTAAGAAGTTTGTTTCTCCATAAATAATTCTTAAGTCCAACTGCAAATAAGTTAGGAAACATCTCTGCCCTATTTACACCTCCTCTTTCATCCTCCAAAACTCTTCCCTGGAGACAATTTAATTTCATTTCTCATTTGTGTCAATATTTATCAAAGACAATGTTCTGCCTTGAGTTCCGCTGTAAAGTCCATTAGCCTAGGTCTATGTCTATTAAATTAGAATGGAGAGAATTCATCTATCTATTGGAATGATTCATCTTGAATGACAGCCATGGCATATTTTAATTTCAAACTTGTACGAAAAATGATAAATGTTCTCATCAAATTGATAATGAAATATACATATGTATGTATATTGGAGAGAAAGATATATATGTGTATATGTATTTGTATATAGACTGCTGTTAGAGCTCTTTAATCAAATTACGACACAGGACACACCAGGCAAGGCATCCTTGCAGTTCTCGCTCAGACAATAAAGTTAATTAATTTACTGGGCCTCCTCGACTTGGGTGTTGGGTTGGAACTCGGGGTCTGGTCCACTTGGTGTGGTTTGCCTTTGGCTGGGGGTGGGACTGGGGCTGGGGGTTTTCGTGTGGTGCCAAAGTGACAGGCGCTGGGGGAATGTCAAGCTCTGGCCAAAAGTGCATCGATGTCGTGTGGCGTGCGTGCATGTGCAGTAAATTAAATTTCATTGGACAGACTCTTTGGCAGCTCTGACAATCTGCAGTTAATACGAGTGAGTACTCTCCCGCATGGCCACAGCACACTGGGCACTCTGAGCGATTGTTTAAATGCCTTGGCATCCTTTGGCGGCCCCGACTAAATATGCAAATCACGCAACAAAATTCGATTATAAAATATTAATTTATTAATTTGCATACCATTCTGGCCTGCCCACAGCCCCCCCACTGCCAATGCCTCGTTCTAATCCATTCATAAATCAAAGCGAGACCTGTTAATGTCCTTTATATTTAAAGGACCTCCCATATACATTTACATGGCCCTTCATAGCCTCATCTATGTGTATAATCGAATGCGCTGTTGTCACTTTTCATGCCACAATTTATGTTAATTTAGTTGTTGAACCTTTCTTGAACCCAGAAAATGGACCCAGAACACCCAAAAAGAGCCAGCCATTACGCACACACACACACACACACACACACACACACTTGCACAATACATGAATAGATTGGGATGATGGGGCAACAATCCATTAGTGGGTTACTAACGGCACACGGCCCAGCCCCCTGGCCGCCATTTTGTGGCAACAACTGCAAATCAATGCTCTGACATGTGAAAAATGGCAAGTCAGGGCCATAACATACGCTCTACCAGGGACAAAGTGAGGGTATTATGATTTAGGGCAAACGTTTGTAAAGTTTAGAAAACAAAGAAAATTTCTCAACGGATTTGATTTGAATCCACAGTCGATAGTAGCCTCGCCTTCCACTGCTAAGCCACACTGGGACAGATATTACGATGTGCAGAAAGAAAAGCTTTTTTTTCATACGGGAAAATTAAACATATTTTACTTACTTTATATATAATTTATATATGTTTCAAGCAATCTACACACATATCTACTTATCTTTCTATCTATCTATGCATTTTTGAGGGTATCTAAAACCTCGACACCCACAGTGGTAACCTGTCCTTGCTGTTGTTGCTGCTGCTGGCTGATGCTTTTGTTGAATGTCTATTATAATATTGCCATATTATTTTATGCATGCAACTGTGTGTCTCTGTGTGTGTCTATGCTAAGTGTGTGGCACACACACGCACACACAGATATTTTGTGATTGTGTCTGCATTTTTGTAATCAAGCTCATGATAAATCGTTTGCGCAAAATTTATTGAGTTTTTGCATGACATTACCAGGAGCGACAGCAGCTGCAGCACGAACACAGACAAACCCCACATAATAAGAATGATGGCAGAGATCGCAGAGTCCTCGTGCGAGTGGTCCTATTTTTTTTGGTTGTCCCTGCCCTGTTCGTTTTTGGCTGTCGCTGCCATTTTATCTCCGCCATATATCCATATATTCGTATGCATATCCATATCCGCTACATCTCATCCCCTTCCTGTGTGCTACTTATAATTTTGGGCACACAGAATGTGAATTCTTAAATTTCAACTCGTTTGCGGTGGGATAATGGCTTGTGCATAAATGTCTAACACTTTATTCAATTCGATTTTTGGGCATACAAATGGTTACCATATTTCAATACCCCCCCCAAAGATACCTTTGCCTTACACGAAAAAAGAAATATTACTAAAAGCAATTGGAAGTTCCAATGATAATTGAAAGTTCATTTACAGAATGCAAATCGAAGCAATTATTTCTTGTTACCCATTTGACAAACAGATAAAAATCAATTTTCATCCTGCCGTCCTAGGCATTGCATCCGAAATGCAAATTGCAGAATTGAATCAATGTATGTATGTATGTTTGTATGTATGTGTGTGTGTACTTCTTTCTGCATAGTATTTTTTGGTGCATGTTCATCGGCATCGGCAGCATCCTTATCGTGTTTGTCCAGCTGCTGC